AGCTAATCAATTTCATTAGATCTCTAAAATCCAAAAACTATAAATACATACATTTACCTTTCTTCCAATGTCACTATCCCCCAATTCCCTTCAACTTGAATTCCCTGCCTATATTGTCTTTAACTTCAAGTCTTAAACCTTAACATTCACATACATATTGAGTTTTTTTATATATATAGGAAGGTTCCCGGTTTTGTCCTTATCTTTGGGGTTTTTAGGGGACAGAAAAATACAAAGCTATGGTAGCTGGTTAGGTTAGGTTATTGTGGTTTCATTTGTTTCTCCAATGTGAAGGGTGGCTCTGCCACTGCATTTATTTTGCTGTAGAGATATTCCCATGTATTGTTTGTTCTGTCTTCCTCGATTTCTTTCAACAATCATTAGAGGAATTGCTGGCTTTGGACTATTTGTCCCACATTGCTTCAGGACAACAAAAACATTCATCATATACCCAACAGTTATGGATTTTTTTTATTTTTGTAGACTGGGAAAATAAAAAAATATAATATAAAACTAATTTTTGGGAAAACCAATAATTTCATATACATGCATGGTCTAAAACATAATATAAAGACTTTAAAAAGCTTAAACTAGGGGATGTTGGATGGATTTGTGGGACCACAATTTGTTCACATGATTTTGCTTTTGGGATTATAGAAACAGGATTGAGGGAGAAATGTCACACTACCTCAACCATAAAAGAAATTTTGCTTTATAACACCTTTCTTTTCTATTTTATTATTTTATTATTTTATTATTTTTAATAGTATAAGATGATTACAATATAATATTTAATTGAAATTTTTTTTACTATTTGATAATATACTTAAACATTCCTTGAGACAATATACTCAAACTCAAGACGTCTAGGGATACAAATCATCCTTTTGATCGCCGAGGTTGTTCAATTTGTACCATTATTTTATTGCCTTATACCTTATAAATTTGCTTAATTGAAAAGCAACCCCATAAAAGCATGTCCCATAGAATCAAATCCCTAATCCGTGTAGTATTGGTCCATGAATGTGAGTTGATTCAGTTAAACCCAAAATTTAGAATTTCTGTTTTGAAATGAAAGGGGTCTACTTTAAACTTTACACCTTTGTTTTTCTTTGAATAGTCTGCCGTATTTTGTAACCACATAAATCTGATGAAAAAGATAAAGAGTTTTGAATCCAGCAACCTTTATTTCCCCATAACTTGATAGAATGATGGATGAAAATTATAAGGTCAAAAGCAAAAATTCAGTGTCTTATGTTAATAAAAGAAAGAAAAAGAAGTAACTGCGGCCACAGAAATGACATGGTTTCTGAGTTAGTCAATCAGTTTTTTGCCTGAAACATGCTTTCCTCGTGACCTTTATACAAACATTAACCCCACCATAATCTGACCTAATATCAAAAGAAATTTATACACATATATACACTGATTTATGATAGTTAGATACGTGGAAATAGACATTTGAGACTAACAATAGAAAATAAGAAAGAAGATAATCTCCACCGTCTATTCACATCCATCCAATGATCCTAAATCAATGTATAACTAAAAATATTTTATATTGTATAAATGAATCCTAACCATGTATATATATATATATATATATACCGAAACCCTGGCCAAAGAAAACTTTAGTGAACCTGAAAGAAGAAGAAGATGGGGTTGGATTTGGCCTAACATGGCTCAACAACATTAGGCCATTAGTCACCAAAGCTGTAGTTGGAATTGGACCCCACCCCCCACCCCCCTCATCTTCTCCTTTTCCCAGACTTTTCTTTTGCAACTAGTCTCTTTGATTGCTAAATACTTTTACTTTATTTGAATTTTCTGATTGATGATTTTTATTATGAGGCCCCTACCTGTGGGATTAACAACTAAGAGTTCCTTCACCCACTAGTTAACTAAAAACATCAATGTTTATTGCAAAATCCTATGAGAAACAAGTTGATTAATGGTGGAGAAAAATGTAGCAGGTGTTAAACTTGAAGGAGAATGGAAAAGAAAAGCAGAGGTTGCATAATTTCTTGCTCTTTTAAAGTTGGTAGAAATCAGCTTTAAAGCAAAAAAGCAGGCAGCCTTGTTCCTGTGAGGAGTTGAGTGGATGGATACAATCAAAGACAGCTTGAAAGATGAATTCTGAATTGACATTATCAGAAACGCTATAAAATATGTCAGGAAAAGAATAATACACAATCCATTATAATATGGAAAAACTACCCATCACTTTGACATGGATTTACACGTGTAAGTTATACAATAATACTTCTTATTTCATTATCGATAAAAGCATCTTATATCTTTTAAAGGGATTAAAAAGTATGTCATGCATCATACTATTTTTTTCAATTCATTATTATGATATATCTTTCATGTATGAAGATGGATAACCAAGCAGGGAAACGAAATTTGAGTTAGAAATCGACAAAATAATAACAAAGGAAGTATTATTAAAGAGTTCTAGGGGTTGGAGAATCTGTTTAAAACCCTACTTACACCATTGATTGATTCAAGCTTTCACCGAAAGTTGACAATCATTTCCCATAAAGAAGGGTTTTTTTCACTGTAAAAAATACTGAATATAGCATTGTCCCAAAAAGCACTGAAATCAGCTCATGACGTTGTAGTGGGACAACGTCAAGAATGACATTTTGAGTTGTAAATCAGTATTTGGTTGCAATGTCAATTAGTAGAAGTGGTCCATAATGGCCATTTCTAGTTGCTCTACGGGTTAGAAAAAGCCATTCATTCTCAAAAGTATTTTTGCTTTGTAATGCATAAAACTAATACGGGGAAGATAACGTCAATTGGAAACATCCAAAAACTTCTACTGAATGATATACAAAAAATCTGACCTGTTTTTGTTGAGAATTCTGCAGCTGGTGGACCAACAACTGCGTGTTGTCTTCTATGTAGCTGCCATGTGATAATATTGACTTCTCTTGTTCTTGATGCAGAGCAATTTGCAAAGATTTTAGTGGCAAACGGGCCTTTTTTTTTCTCTTTTGAATGCACAAACCTCAGCACTGATAGGTTTTAGAATGATCTGATTTCCACCATCTTTTGTTCAGGGTTTTGTAGTACAATAGCAGCACCAATGTGCACCTTTCTTAATGCTAAATCAGCACCATAATCTCTGCTGATGCCAGTTTAACCTGAGAAAACAGGTAATGGCTTTGATGTGAAGGATGGGGCTAATCATTACTAACTTAAGGATTGATGATCGTTATCATTAAAAATAAGCTTAACATGCAACTGATTGAAAGGCCAAAGACTTTCAAATAATGCATGTAGCAAGCACAGCATGACCCCTACCAGATAAAAACACAGAAAGGAATTTCCATCCTGACCTGCAATGTGGAGTTCAACAAAGGTTTGAACTCATTCCACATGTTCAGATAACTCTGTAGTACAGAATATATGGTTTTAATCATATTCTCAAGGAAAATTCCTATATATGCAAATGCTGACATACAACCTAACCTATGCATGAAATAATGCTAAAGACAGTCACGCTTACATGACATCTGAACCTGCTGAGAACCAATAAAAACCTGTCACCAGCATGTAGCAAGCATGTCGGGTGTCAAAAGTTGCCCACTTCTCTAGCAATGAGAGAATGAGCATTTATGGCGCTCCACATTGATTGCTACTCGAATGCCCAAGGCCATTGTATGAATAAAAGTGAAACTATGTTATTTACAGAAGGCGAACATGGGATGTCCCAGCAAATGCTGTTTACAGAGCTTTGATTGTTTTGAAGCTTGGATTTTGAAACAGCAACAAGTCGAAGGGATACTCATGCCGCATTCGGATATAGTGAAAGGACCTCGGCCAAGGGAAGGTCTATCATTTTTTGTTTTATAGAGTTTTTAATATGCTCTAAGCCTCTAACTAGACTATACCTCCGATTGACTGAACTTGAGCTTAGAACAATTCCATGTGTTAAGTTGACTGAAAAAATATTCAGGCTAAGCAAGTCTTACTATCGGGTTTCTGTATCGAGCAAGACATAGCGAACTCTATCCAGCATGTAAAGCTATTGAATCAATGTTATCACCACCACAATAGGCTCCTACTTTGTTGGAAGACCTAGCAAGATTGTTTTTTTATGCAAATTCTAGTTATATATATATATATATATATCCAACATTACAATGAACATATAATTAGGACATATCCCTATAACCATTAACACAAGAAACTAGCTATCTAAGATCATATAAGGACCATACAAATAAAAGGTTAAAAACTTATCAAAAAACTAGAATAAAATATAGATATGGATAGAATTGATCTTGAGAAAACTATCTCCACACAGAAACCACATATCCAAATCTAATCCGAGAGTCCAAAGCAAGGAAGATCAACAAGATAACATATAAGCGCATCTTGATCAATGGATACGTCTTCAAATTCAACCTTAAGAAAATTAAAAAAAAAGATGGTCAAACGACCGAAAATGTGTCCAAAGATGAGAGAAAATGTGTCATAAAGGCATATGAAAGCGTGTTACAGAGGCAGAGTTAATGAAAATAAGATGTAATATAAGAAAATAAAGAAAAAAAACAAAGAATACATACGGTTGTCGACGACCAGCACTAAGACTGGTGTCGTCGCCTACCAAACAAAAAAAGAAAAGAACGAATAAGAAGCAAATGGCTTGACAGAAAATTTTATAGCAAGATTGTTGAAATATGCATCATCTCAGTCAAAGAATGTTCACATGTAGAATAATTAACATATGGCTTGAACAGTGGAGATGCATAATTCTTGTTGTGGAAGAAGTTAAGAACATGTCTTGTGCTTTTTCTAAATTTCAAAAGTTACTCTGCATCGAACCAATATTGGTAACACTGATGGACTAATGGATGCAAGATGCAAGTGCACTAACTCACTGCTTATACATATTGTCGATCGTTAATTCAGGTCATACAGGAAAAAAATACCCAAATTTACTTGATTTCAGGATCGTTAACTAAACAACAATCGAGTTGAACTTGATATTTATTTAATTTTAACTAAATTCAAATAGTTTGTGAAAACAGATATCTGGTTTACATTCTCTTGAACCAGTGACACTAGTTTTAAAGTTACACAGAATGCAAACTTATCTTTTGGTTGTCTACTTCGATCCTGATTGGAATTTAGTATACTTGATAAAGTTGATAAGCCCATTAGTTTGGATTTCATTCACAAGACTCGATAAGAAATCAACCCATCAATCGTCTCTACAACCAGATGATTCATGCGCACCAGTAGCAGCAAGTAAGCACGCCCTTTAGGCCCTGTATGCACCAACCAGAACTTGTCAACTCAGTTTTAGATATAAACCATTACATGCTATATGTGTGAACTGACCCTCCCAAGACCCTCTAAATATATGAACATCTTCAGAATAATAATAAAAAATGAACATAGACCCTCCAAGACCCTCTAAATATATGAACATCTTCAGAATAATAATAAAAAATGAACATATCATGTCGAACAAAAACCCATGTGGACTTTACACATGAATCTGAGTAATGTATATATATAATAAGATATAATCGAACTAGAGACAAATTGTAGTATGCAGTGGGTTACCTAAGTCCAAGGCTTCAATTTCATCTTGGTGGAAGTAGTTATAACCTTTTGTTTTCTCTTTCTTGCTCAAACTTGAGTTGATCTTCTCCACGGCTGCAAGCAGATCCTGAAAGTCCGCAAAATCAGAAATAACCATCCTAATACCTTAGCTAAACCAGGTCAGGTTCATCCATACAACAAAGAAACAATATAAGCATCACACCAGGACAGTGGCTTCAACATACAATTCTTACTGTTCGAATCAGTTTTCTATTTTTTGCTCGGCCCGATACTTCACCCTAGGATACATTTTCTTATCATGCCCTCTTTAAATGTGCAAAGAGTTTTTTATAAAACTTTCCTGATGTAGCTCAATCATAAGGATAAAAGTCTAACATAGTACATTAAATTTAAAACATTAGTTAGAGATCCTCAACAACCAACATGAACTATATACCTCCCAAGATGCTAGATTTGTCATATACGAAGGAAGACTTTCATAACCATCCTTAGAAACTTGTAACACTGGTCCCTTAGCTTGAGCTTGAACGTGATTTTGGTCCTTTTCCTCTTCTACGACGTAACATGGTGTAAAATAAATGACATAGCATTGATTATAACCAGCTATTAGTCAGTCATAAACCCAATAAATGGATGGTCAAGGGAAACTTAAAAGTGTAGTAAAACTCAGTAATTTCTACCTCTATTTACTTCAATGGTGTCTGTAATGGGCTTATCTGTGCCCTTGATGTTGTTTGTTTTGTCTCCATTGTACCTGCAATTTAGGCTCAGAGATGGTTTGTAAAGGAAAGAAAAAGAGGACCCGCAAAAGAGGAAGTGATCCTTGTACAATCAATATAAAGAACTTTCAAGAGTCGAAAAACTTACTTCATGTTTTCTCCAAAAGATAAATCAGTGTCATCAACCTTTTGATTAGCTGCAGAGACAAAGATGGCAATAGTAGAAGCTCATTCATATTCTGAAAGGGTAAAAATCCAATCCATCTTCTATAGATTGAAAGTGGGTATTATTTAACTTGAAACCCCTCAAAAAAGGGTGACAATTCATTTCATTTCAAATGATATAAATAGTGCAAGGAAAGGGGGAAAGTAGGAAAGAAAGAAGCAAGCAAAAGTGCGAACCTTGAGATGCTAAAGTGGCAAGACAAACATCAGAGAGCCCGAAATTCTTTAGACTCAGTGATTCATCAAGGCTACAATAAATATCATCAGGAGAAAACACCAATTCCTTTTCATCAGAGCTTAATAAAAGAAGATTTCAATAATTTAATGTACTATTTTATGATAAAAGTTCCGCATTCAACATGATAATTTTACAATTTTTCTTTCGTGATTTCTAATGCATTAGTCAAATTCTTGAGGGGTAATTTTTTTGCAAATTAAGCTTTAAAAAAGTTCAAGGATACAACAAAGTATCTTCTTCGAAGCTATTCAAAGCTGAACTGGTTACGGCAGAAGATATTTCTTTTGAATCCAAAATTTCCTCTTCCTCATCCTCATCTTCAATATCAGCTTCTAATTATAAAAAATAAAAAAATAATAATAAGCGAGGAAAAAAGTTGCAATATATTCTGTAAAGGAAACTAAAAATGTTGATACCTACGGGGTATATAACCCAGAGGCTTGAGGCGATCTTGGAGATGGAGGAGATGGATTTGGTTATTTTCAAAGACCTGATAACAGTGACCTAAGAGTTCCTCGAAGGAAACAGTGCCGAAGGACATGGAATCGAGGAGGTTGAGGTCGGCGGTGGCGGTTGAAACGCGGCGGTTTAGGCATTGAACGAAGGTCGATGAAGCCGAATCTGAGTTGTCAATCATCAAAAGAAGAACAGTTCGGTTAATAATAATAATAAAGGAGAAACAATAAGTTGGGAAAGTTAGAAAAGGAAAAAGGGGATAACCAAGAGGGATGGGGCGGCGGTCGATGGATTGCTTCAGAGCGTCGCAGCTGCTTTGAAGGTGGTTGCAGAAAGAGCCCAGACTTTTGCTCAAATCTGTTATCAATTCTTCCATTTTCTTTGAGATCGGCTTCTGCTATTGCTGTTTGCTTTCACTTTTATCTTACGATTTCTAATTTCATTTAAGCGCCAAACTCCTCCTTTTCCTCTTTGGATTAATGCATAATTTAGTCTCTAAACTATACTCTTTCTCCCTTTCTGTCCTTTTACTCTCTTTTTTCTGTCCAAATCAAGATCTATTACTACTATATTTTAAGTGACGAATGATAAAATATTGAACATAAACTAACAACAATTAATTGGTCTAGTGAGATGATGTACTAATTTTTTAAACAATGTTAAATATTCGAATTTTGATATGTATGAATGAAACAAATTAAATAGAGAGAATCGCCCCTATAATTTACCTTTACCAAGGGTATCATAAATATTTAAAATTTTAAGTTAAGGCTTATGGTAACGCATATATGAAAATCTGAGGACATTATATGCATGGTGGTATAAATAACATGACAATATTAGTCACTAAATGATACATTACGATGAACATATTAATAGAGTTGAGTGAGTTTAGACAAGTTTGTGACATTAGAATATAAAAGATTGATTATTATGTACATTTGTTATGAGGAAATGACTCAGACGTGATAATTATGCATAAGGGAACTCTCAGGAGAAATTAAAGGTCGAACTATGATGGATAACTATTTTTTTTAAAGAAATCACTGGGAAATTCTCACGTGCGACAACCTTAATATACGACTAAAGAAAGATGTTATCACATTGTTATTATTTTTTTAATATTTTCAATAAAAAATTACCTAAAACATTATTATTTCTACCGGTTTTGTTATTATTGGGCTCTTTACCGGTTTTGTTATTATTGGGCTCTTTACCAGTTTTGATAACATATCTGATAAAATACTACCTAAAACATTTTTTATACCGATTTTGTTATTATTGGACACTTTACCGGAAATGTTAAAAAATATTAATGTTTTAGGTATAAATAATAATATTTTAGGTAATTTTTTACCAAAAATGTTAAAATAATAATAATAAAACCGATAGTGTATTTCCTTAGCCGTATATTAAGGATGTCGCACAGTATAATTTCCCGAAATCACTAGTTTTATTCAAAATAGGAAAAAATCCTTAATTACAATAAACATTTACAATCATAATCATAAATTAAACACATAATTAGTACAATTTCCTATAATCATTAAAACAAAACTAGAACCATACAAGGAAAGATTCAAATATAATCAAAAAAACTCAAACAAAGATTACAAACGGATCTGACAACATCGACAACCGAAACACAAAAGAGGATCAAACTACTGAAAGACTACCGACAAACTGCAAATCAGAATCGAGCGACGTGAAAAACTATCTACGAACGCATAATGAGTATCCAAATCCAATCAAAGGGTCCAAAACAGGGAAGATATCATATAAGTGCCATATCGATCAGACGTGACAATGTCTAATCAACCCTTAGAAAAAAGATAAATGAAAGCAATGACCAAACGACTGAAAAACGTGCCATACAGACAGACTTATTGAAAATAAAAAACAAGAGAAAATAAAAGAACAATAAAGAATATCAGCGGTCAGCAACCAACATTAAAGTTCGTGTTGTTACCGATCAACAAAGATAAAAAGAAAAAGAGATGAACAACTTACCAATAAGAGAAAACTAGGAGAGAAAAGGGTATATTATAACCCGATTTCTATGGTGGATATCTGTTAAGGATGCTCTAATATGAACAAATTCATTGTTATATTTGTATGGAAGAATGAACTAAGTATGTGTTAATCCTTTCTAGCCTATGTATGCGACTCTTGTATACTGCACTTTGAATAAGAGCATGAGGCATGATATGAACTTGTCATGATATGATATGCTATGCTATGCATAATTCAAACAAATGTGAACTTTTCAAGATAATTTATAATAATATACATTTGTCCCTTCATGTCACTTTGGTCACCCCTTCCCGTACAGCTGATTAAAAAACAACCGAAAAGATTCAACACTAGTGTTCCATTCTTAATTAAATTCGATTTAAATGTATTTAATTTGATTTGAATTTAAAGTCTGTTTTTATTTAATTTACTATTGGATTTTATACTTTTCATAATAAAGAATAAATATTTTACATTAGAATGAATGAAAATAATTTTAAAAATATTATATTTAGTTATTTAAAATTTCAAAAGGGTGGGTTATCATTTCTTGCTTTTCCCCAACTCAAAATGTTCAATGGTATTGGACAAGTTTAATAGCTAAGAAATAAAGCCAATAACTAGAATGAAAAGTGTCTACAATCATAATCTACTCCAGGCAAAAGCTCCATGCATGGCAATGGCTACGGACATGGATTGAAGAAGGAACTACCTGACAACACTCGTATATGTACAAGTTTATGCCTCCCTTTCCCTTAAATTTCATATTTTGCTGTTGCGGGCTCAGTTTTCAGACAACTTCTCCTCTGAGTGCAGCTGCGGCTCTTTGGATAGCTCTAGCAACTCTCCAGATTTCATGCTGAATCGTTGCATCCCTATCCCTTCGGCTCATTCTTTTTGATTCCGCTATTGCATCTGATATTCCAGGGAAGAAATCCATTTCGCTCCTGTGGTTGCTGTGAGGTCCGTAAATCTTAAACAGACAAAAAGAGAAGAGTTATACGAATGCTATTCATGTGCACTGATCAATTTATTCACCATCAAAACCTTAATCTACCAATTAACAAACTCAAAAACCCACGCCTCCCTCTCATGACAATGATATAATGCTAGAAGTGCATGCTCCAAGGTGATAAATACGATTTAGAAACTTCGAGCTATATGAGTAAGCAGTACTACACTAACTTGCATAGGTCAATCATATTACTATATCAGTACGTTAAATCTGTCCTAATAAGCAATATACAGAAAGAAGATCCTTACTAGATGCTTGAACCACTCCTTTCCTTTAATTCCATCTGTATCTAGGAAGCCTCTTTCGGCAAGCATCAGCCTATCATTCAGTGCTCGGATCTTCAAAGCTAAAAGATCATCAGTAAATTCTAGCGCTTTTAGATTCTGCAATCCACGACAGAAGATACCAGACTTAGTCGACAAGAAATGACAACTTGAAATACCTTTCCTAAATATTTGTAGAATTCCAATAAACTTTCTTGCCCTTTTACCTTAGTCTCATCTTTAGCTTGTTTAGCTGCAGACGTAAGTTCTTGAATTGACGCAGCTAGGGGAGTAAGGGATATATGCTAGCATCCAAAACTCTGCTCAAGGTATCTTTATACTCCTATGCAAGATGGTCAGAAAATAGTTTCATACTTGGAAATATGAACAAACATATTGAGAGAACAACCCAATACCTGCAACTGTTTAGCATAGGAAAGGTAATCGAGAGGTAGAATTGGATCATCAGCAAGGTGAAGGCCTAAAAGACCCCAAACTCCAGCCACTAACGTGTTCAACAAAAGTGCAGAGTCATCTTGAGAAGTTGATTATGAAGTTTTTACAGTTTGATTATCAAGTGAATGTTAGAAATTCATCAGGGGATATGTTGGAGGAAAAGAAGCTAACCAGCTACATGACGCCAAAAGCATGGATCTGCGTAGTTTATCATCCAGTTGAAGGAATCAAAGACATTATGATATACAGGAAAATCTGGATAAAAGAGAGAAGATTCTTAAGAGTATAAATTGTAGCACTATAGAATTAGGAACTGCTATAGATGCATCATGTTCAAACTTTCACCAGAACTGTTGTGACAACGATGTACCTCTTCCATAATATATGTCAACAGAAGGAACCCCTGCATGTTGCAAGAATGGTGCAAAATCAGAATCCACACCAGTGAGTCTTTCAATCTGCAAAACAACCAAGACACTTGATTAATCTATATGTCAACTTTAATTTTAATCAGAGAACACACAAATGTACAAGTGCAAGTGGTCAGTCCTTGGGGGGAATAGATAGCAGCATTTTCCTTTTTAGTAGGTCGCCTATGTTTCGTTCTAAATTTATATAAGGCAAACTTAAAGGACTATCGTCAAAAAGAAAATGCTAACCAGCTGAAGTGGGCATCTGGTTTTTGCTAATTATTAATCATTTCTCAAGTATTCACACAGATCACATCAGAATAATTGATACCAGCTTGCTTTTTCCAGTGATGCACAAATGTCTACCAAGCCTAACACTTGTACCACACACCCTTGGAATGAACTAAACAAAAGCCATGAAAAAATAGAAGCTTGTAACAAAATAAGGTCCAAGGAGCTATATCAGAATATACATACACTTCCCGGGAGAGTGCATAATTAAACAATTAAACTTGTGTGCATGGGGAAGGAAGATCTATATGTACAGATTCGATGTATATTATGTTGTAGTTATAAGCTAAATAAATGAACACAACATTTAGAAAGATAGATTGTGTGGCCTTACATTGCCTTTTCCATTCATGGTTTTCCATTTGTCATATATGGTAGCAACCTCCAAATCTGGATCCTTAACCTGAAATTAGTTTAAATGTTAATTGGAAAGTATAACAAATCAAGTCTTGACAAGTAAATCACTTTTTCCACCTCTCGTCTACCTTCTTTGTGACCTCAAAAATGAGATTATCTAGCTGAGGAGTTGCCCCAGCAAAGAATCCAGGCCCTTGCACCGCACAATCGACATTAAGATACGCCACAGCTTTAGAACAAAGATTCACAAGGTTCTGCTCAACCCACTCAGTAGAACCGATCTAAAAACAAAAGAGCAACAGATAATTAACTTTGGAGCATCAATGGGCCAAATAAACATAAGCTTTATCAAGCTGATGATTATTGAATTATGTTCACGTTGTTGCAAATCGGATACTTCTCAAAGCCTGAATGCTATATGCATCATATATACACTTGACCAAATAATTTACCCTTATGTTACCCGATGTCATCAGAAAACAGATAATATAGAAGATGGATTATCATCTTATACAAGGGCATTGAAATTTCTTAAGCTATGGTTGCTATACGTCCTTTTAAAATTATTTATCGATTAATTTTCATAAAAATGCCCTAGTAGTACATAAGCTAACCCTCTAACCCAGCTTTT